TCTCAGAAATATTCATTGTAAAGAACCTTTCTTCCTTTTGTTGGCATTACTACCCATATGACAAGGTGCAAAAAAAAATTCTAGTAAATTTTTTGGTTACATGTATGGAAACATCCTTAGAAAGTGTTATCTCTCTCTAATTATGTATGGTTGTGTTTTATTTTCCAATGCAGTTCAATGGCTTCAAGTAGAAGTATTGCCTGTTTGTTGGAGTTATAATACAATTTTTGCATTGATTGTTTACTAGTACAATAATTCTTCCTCTTGATCCTTGTTCATTTCTAACTCGTTTTTAGTGATTGCATATAGTATTTTGCTTAATTTACGACATGGTTTTCTTGTAGGTGGTGCGCTTTGTTGCTCCCATTGTTGCTAGTTTCCTTAGATAACTCTTATTGTAGTCACTAAAGGTTGATTATGTAATTCACGTATATAAACATTTCACTGTACAAGGAAGGTTGTCAAACACTATTCAAGCCTCCAAATGGTATCCAAAACACGACGAATCTGCTTTGACACCAATTTGAAAATGAAAAAAAAAACTTAGAGATTGAAGCTCATTCATGTGTGGTTGACCAAAGGAATCAACTTGAACTGCTGATTGAAAAAAAAAATCCATTTAGGGACTGAATAGGTGCATGAGTGCATGCTGACTGAAAAACAAATGCATTTGGGGACTGAATAAGTGCAAGAGCACATGGGCTTTGGCTTGTTGAAGGTAGCTTTAGTTTGTATGTTCCTACAAATAAATGAATGTCAAAAAATGATAACAACATGAATAAAACAAGTATTAGACATTCAAAACAAGGAACTTACTTCATTGAGGGACAGATAAAGGGGGAGAGGATTGGACTTGAGGAGCTACACTTTGAGGTGCTGGTGGATTACTTCTTTGAGAGACAAATAGATAAAGAGGATTGGACTTGAGGACCTGCACTTTGAGATGCTAGTGGATGATTAACTATATGACCCCTGATAACAGTTGAAAAACTGTTATTTTTATACTTAAATTTGACCTTAAAGACAACCTTATGACTTGGAAACTAGCTTAGAATCAAGTTTTTGTTGAAGTTTTGGAAATAAGAGAGTTGGACAGGTTTTATGCGTGATTTCTTTGTTTTTGTAGGTTTTAAGATGAATTGAGTGAAAGAAGTGAAGGAGCTAGGAGTTGGATTTAGAAAAGGAAAAAAAAGTGCATAAAAGGAAGAAGCCGCAAGTACCGCTCAGCGCCATTTACCGTTGAGCGACACTTTGAAGACCCGCAGACACCGCTGAGGGGCAAAACTGCAACTGAGGGGCAGAATAGAAGTTACGCACTTACCGTTGAGCGGTCTTTACCGCTGACTGGCATTCTTATGGGCTTGGGCTTAATTTTCTATAATATTTAGAAGTTTATATAAGGTTTTAGACTTCCTAGAGTTAGTATCTTTGGTTGGAACGAAGCAGAAACACACTCTTTCACCTCTTGGAGGTGGATTTTGGATGCTACAGCTCCTTTCTCACCTTTCTAGGGTTTTATCTTTCACTCTTTCATTGTATTTCATCTAGTTTCACCATGAATATGGTGAACTAAACCTTTATTGTTGTTGAGGAATCAATGTAATCCTTTGAAACTCCTTTAAGATCTTTAAGATATATGTTTTCTTTCATTAATTTTAAGGGTTTTCCTCTTTGCTCTAAGCATGCATTGTTTAACTCATTCAATGTCATGATTATTGATTTTGTCGATATGGACACATACGAGGAAGTCTAGATTTGGGGAATCTCTCCCAATAGTAGTATAAACCTAGACATATGATTATGATGTTTGGTTGCCTTTAAGCTTTTGTGCTTTATAATGCATGAGTAATTGCTAGGGAGACAAGACATTGTAAACTAGTGATTATGATTAGACTTTCTTTGCCGAGACATCGGGTTTAAGGTAATTTAGAAAGTGACATTAACATTAATGAAAAAAGATGAATTCTTGAATACATGAGAATGGATAGGATGAAATTGATAAATCCCAAGAACATAATCATTCATATATTTCAAACCATGTGTTTTGTTTCTTCTTGCCCATTGATCAATACATGCATTCATATTTATTTTTAAGTATTTTGCATTTAAACCTACAAGAGTTTGGTCACAAGTCTTAGATAATCAACAAATCACATAATTGTCTAGATCATGAGTCCTTTGGGAGAACGATAATTGGTCTTACCAATTTTATTACTTGATATGATTCGATTACACTTGCCAAGGGTTAAACAACCTCATGCTAGTTGTATTAGCCCACATACATTTAAATAAGACAACCGAGAAACGACCATGGTAATTTATTTCAATTATGTCCACTAATTGACCATAATAAGGCACACCTCCAAATTGAATTTGATTATCACTACTACTTGCATAACTCTTTGTCCCAAATGGACCAAACACTCCACTATTTTGTGTTTTAAGCCATAAGTCACGCTTCAAGATCCTAAACTTGAATCCATTAACATTATAGACATTATATCGTTGGCAATATCAATCGGACCCATGGCTAAGAATTTCAAATCAGTTGAGTGGAGGCTAGTTGACTCATTCCTTGTCTAAAAGGAAAAAAATAACATGTCCATGTCAATTATCAATTATAACATAGAATGAAACCAATGTTCAATGGTATAAATATATGTACACGATGTGAAAACCAAACTTGCAGATTCTTTATGAACTCTCTTGTCTATCAAAGATGATTGTCGACTCCGATTTCTCATTTGTCTTCGTATAATGTCTCTAAATTATTCCCTACACAAAGAGTCTAAATTATACATAGCTACTTTCTAATAAAAGACTAATTAATAGAATTGATCAAGTGAAAATATTTACCGAAGAAATGGGTCAACTATGACACTATTTGTTAGGATATGACGATGTGCTTATAACTTTTCCTTAGCAAATAGAGTGAAATAAGTGAAACCTCCAACTAATGCAGGGGTGAATCATATATACACGTTATCAAATATAATGATTCTTTAATGAATAATCTATTCTATTTAGCATCTAATATAATCTAATCAATTTAATGAACAATCTAATCCTTCTGTAATCTTAACTTATTAATAATTAAACGAATGTGGTATGCACCTAGAACCTATCCGTGTTTCTTTACGATATTGTCAATTTGTGCCTGTTCTCCGTCCAACACTATCTCTGTGTCGAGAGGATCTAAGCTGCATTGAACAATAAGTTTCATGAGAATGAGTTAATGAGAGCATAAAAATGATAATTAGCTTTACAAATCTATATTTGATAATTTAAAATTAAAAACTGGTATATAATACGTAAATTCTGAAATTTGATTTGGTTTGGAAGTTTGGAATCATTAACGTAATAGGAGAATAGAAAGAGAACAGTTAATTGAATAAAAAATCAGAATCAAACATAGAAATAGAAAAGAATGAAGCGAGAACTTGAAATTTCTGAAAAAGTTACTTCATAAACTCAGTTTTGACCATTGCGTTTACTAGTTAAGTTTAACTAGTAAGTAGTTCAAATCTGAACTCTTAGATTATGAAGATCCTTTAGACCAATTAACACCCAATTGCAGTATGAAATTGAGGTTAAAGAAGATGCAATGTTAAAATGATTTTATCTTTATTCTTATTATTTTCCTTTTAAATGTATTTATTAGTTTAGTCAAACATGCCAATATCTTATAATTATCTTCTAAACCAAAGTTACTTCCCACGAACCACTCTTGTATTCTGTTAATGTCATCTAACTGTATGGGATGGGAATATTCCCACTTTCACATACCTATACAAATCCTAATAATGCATGTAATAAAGGTTTATAGATAAAAATAAGACGTTACTCCAAGGCGAACTACTTTATTATATAAACAACTACTTTAATTCCTTTTATCTGTAATTTATATAAAAAAAATAGCACCACCTTATAAAATGAATGGAAGTTGATGGGAGAAAAAGATTCAAATTAGTAATGTCACAAAACTTAAAAAAGAAAATTTTTCAGCCTGTTGCCTGTGATGACATGAGCTGGGTTGAGCTAAACAAAACTACAACAGTCCAACCCAAAAAGGATTGACCCACAACAAGCTTTGATTTCAGTAAAGTAACTATTTTCCTTATGCATTGATTATATCTATACTTAGGTCATTAATTATTAAAGTTCTAGAAGCTTAACACTCGTTAATTTTACGATGTGACAAGCCTTCCACTTTCAGTTTCAACAGCAGGATATACTGACAGGAAATCCTGAGAGGGACACAAAAGGAGAGTGAAATGAAAAAGACTCGAGGAATGAAAAATATTTTAATTGAGCGCAGGTTCTTGGATAGTACTTTTGCTACTTACTCCCATGAAGATGCACTTGAGAGCCGTCATCACCATTTTTCCTACATTTGCCAACAACAACCTCTGCAAGATTTTAGGAGTGATGATAATCACAAATTGGCGTTCCTAATGGTGCCTATCCATGAACTAATGACGATCTAAATAAAACTTATAAAAAAAAAACTTGATTCGCAACACTGAAGATTCCTGATGGTACAACAATGAAGGATGTGGGGCTTAAAGTTTTTCAAAACAACTGTCTGAGTGATTCTAATAAGCAACCAGACTAAAAAGACTAAAAGGACAAAATAAAAAATAAAAAATATATCTCTGACCTTCTTTAAGAAAGGCCAAGAATCTCATAGGTAGAAGAATGTAAGGAAACTTAGTACATAAGCTTACAAGGCTTTTTGTGTCAAAGATTAGTTTATTGCCTAATATCGGATTAGGATTATAAAACATGTTTCTCCATGAGAAAACCAGGAATCCCAAATCAGCAATCTCTCATTTGCTCAGCAATCTCACTATAACAAGTCAAAGTTACAAATTGTCCACCTACTGCACTTCATTGTAATTATTATATTATTTCTAGGTCTATTGTTATACAAATACACCACATCACAGCATAAAACATCTCTTACTAGTAGCAAGTCTAACAGTGAAATTGAGGTTGGCTGTTTATTTCCAAATCTGGAACAGATTTTAGCCAGATTTAATACTCTTATTTTTAGGATAAAATCTTTTAAATATCAAACAATTCCTTGAGAACAATCTCAGTCAATTGTCATTCACTCTGCCAAATGCATATAAACATTTACAAACACTCCATACTTTCATATCCCTCCTTCACCTAACTATTAGACTAATGTGCTACATTGCTTCTATAGAATGCCAAAAACATTACAAAAACATTTATTGTACAAGTAAGTCTACAAAAACATTTATGCTTATCCTCTATAATTAAAACTACAATTAAGTCTACAAATACACACAGAGAACCATGACTTGCATCTGGTGCAGCGTTTCATGAAAATTTACTCGTATTGCTACGTTTCATCTTTGACTGGGGACTGCAATAGATTATTGAAAAACATCAAAATCTTGCAATATCTCACTGTCGTAATGTATAAAGTAATTCAACTAACGATAACTTTTATTCCAAAAACTTTGTACAGCAAATTAGATGTATCAAAGAAGAGTGCAAAGTTAGACCTTGCCAACACATTTGCTGTCATAAAAGCAGTTCTATGGAGGATAGAACCGTAAGAGGCTTCAGCTTCCAGGCCAGCATAGTCCAAGACACTGAATCGTAAATCATAAAACAAACACATTATTGGACATAACAAAAACATAAAAACAAAAATATGCAAAAGCAGAGAAAGCGAAGCTCGAACACAGTAATTAAAGGTCGGCTTAGTCGGTGCGGGAGCGAACACACGCCAGAGCCCCTCCATTGGAGGCACCAGGACGTTCGACGAACAATATCTTGACGGTCAGCCTCGCTCAGCCCACAAATGCACCAGATTTTCGTTCCTAAGCAACGGAAGACCAAGACGAACCCAAACTGAATAGCTTCACGAACAATAAGAGGCCTTGTGTGAAGAATGTGGTGCGGGAAAGATCACATTAGATGCAGAGAAAAGAGATGAAGCGCAGGGAGGAAACAGCTAGGGTTCACTAGGGATGCAGAGAAAATGAGAAGCATGAGAAATGAAGGCTCGGAGTTTCACTAAATAGCGGCCGGAAAATTATTATAAATATAAAAAAGAAAATTAAATCTTAAGAGTGATTTTGGTGGTATACGGTCGGAAAATTTTATAATTATCGAAAAATAACTTTCCTAAAATATATAACTTTTATAGTTAGATAGAAAATAGAATTGGATATGAAAATTTGCATGATAATGTATTATTTAAATATAAGTAGTAATATATAATCGATATCTTATAATTATGATAATATAAACAAATACTTTTTTAAATAAATGCTCATGAATAATTATAATAAATAATAAGACATTTGATAAAATATGTAATTCTGTCTATTCTGAATTTTGCTGTCGGATGACTTTCTAGATAAATCATTTTTCAAAAACACAACAGAAATCCTTATTTGCAATGCAGTTTCAATGCAATGTTCCAAATGCTTGCCCAAGATCTTAGGGTTAAAGTTGAAGAACACGCTGGTTGAAACTACAAGTACCATGCACACCACCCACGAAGAAGCACAGCAGCAGCAGAGTGAGGAAGGTGGGTGAAAAAGTTAGAATTAAATTAAATAAAAAAAAAAGGTCACTTTGAGAATTTGACATCAATAACGGGGTGTAGGAAGCAATTTAAGGGGTGTAGAAAGAAATTCCATTACATAAATTAACACTAGATTAGACCATCAACATATTCAGGAAAACCCCAGGGGCTTTTTCCTGTAATCCAAATTTTACTAAATGTTATTATCTATCTTTTGATTTTGACCAGGGTTTAAAATCCTCTTTCACACTCATTACCCCCATTCCTTCCACCTCCTTCATAACTACCTCCTTCCTTCCCCTTCATACATTTTACCTTCTATTCAATGCATTTTCTTATTTATCAGATTTTGAAATCCAATTTACATAAATATATATATATATATATTTATGTAAATTGGATTTCAAAATCTGATAAATAAGAAAATGCATTGAATAGAAGGTAAAATGTATGAAGGGGAAGGAAGGAGGTAGTTATGAAGGAGGTGGAAGGAATGGGGGTAATGAGTGTGAAAGAGGATTTTAAACCCTGGTCAAAATCAAAAGATAGATAATAACATTTAGTAAAATTTGGATTACAGGAAAAAGCCCCTGGGGTTTTCCTGAATATGTTGATGGTCTAATCTAGTGTTAATTTATGTAATGGAATTTCTTTCTACACCCCTTAAATTGCTTCCTACACCCCGTTATTGATGTCAAATTCTCAAAGTGACCTTTTTTTTTTATTTAATTTAATTCTAACTTTTTCACCCACCTTCCTCACTCTGCTGCTGCTGTGCTTCTTCGTGGGTGGTGTGCATGGTACTTGTAGTTTCAACCAGCGTGTTCTTCAACTTTAACCCTAAGATCTTGGGCAAGCATTTGGAACATTGCATTGAAACTGCATTGCAAATAAGGATTTCTGTTGTGTTTTTGAAAAATGATTTATCTAGAAAGTCATCCGACAGCAAAATTCAGAATAGACAGAATTACATATTTTATCAAATGTCTTATTATTTATTATAATTATTCATGAGCATTTATTTAAAAAAGTATTTGTTTATATTATCATAATTATAAGATATCGATTATATATTACTACTTATATTTAAATAATACATTATCATGCAAATTTTCATATCCAATTCTATTTTCTATCTAACTATAAAAGTTATATATTTTAGGAAAGTTATTTTTCGATAATTATAAAATTTTCCGACCGTATACCACCAAAATCACTCTTAAGATTTAATTTTCTTTTTTATATTTATAATAATTTTCCGGCCGCTATTTAGTGAAACTCCGAGCCTTCATTTCTCATGCTTCTCATTTTCTCTGCATCCCTAGTGAACCCTAGCTGTTTCCTCCCTGCGCTTCATCTCTTTTCTCTGCATCTAATGTGATCTTTCCCGCACCACATTCTTCACACAAGGCCTCTTATTGTTCGTGAAGCTATTCAGTTTGGGTTCGTCTTGGTCTTCCGTTGCTTAGGAACGAAAATCTGGTGCATTTGTGGGCTGAGCGAGGCTGACCGTCAAGATATTGTTCGTCGAACGTCCTGGTGCCTCCAATGGAGGGGCTCTGGCGTGTGTTCGCTCCCGCACCGACTAAGCCGACCTTTAATTACTGTGTTCGAGCTTCGCTTTCTCTGCTTTTGCATATTTTTGTTTTTATGTTTTTGTTATGTCCAATAATGTGTTTGTTTTATGATTTACGATTCAGTGTCTTGGACTATGCTGGCCTGGAAGCTGAAGCCTCTTACGGTTCTATCCTCCATAGAACTGCTTTATGACAGCAAAATGTGTTGGCAAGGTCTAAACTTTGCACTCTTCTTTGATACATCTAATTTGCTTTGTACAAAGTTTTTGGAATAAAAGTTATCGTTAGTTGAATTACTTTATACATTACGACAGTGAGATATTGGCAAGATTTTGATGTTTTTCAATAATCTATTGCAGTCCCCAGTCGCATGTGAAACGTAGCAATACGAGTAAATTTTCATGAAAACGCTGCACCAGATGCAAGTATGGTTCTCTGTGTGTATTTGTAGACATAATGGTAGTTTTAATTATAGAGGATAAGATAAATGTTTTTGTAGACTTACTTGTACAATAAATGTTTTGTATGTAATGTTTTTGGCATTCTATAGAAGGCAATGAGCACATTAGTGTCTAATAGTTGAGGTGAAGGAGGATATGAAATAGGAGTGTTGTAAATGTTTATATGCATTTTGGCAGAGTGAATGACAATGACTGAGATTGTTCTCAAGGAATTGTTTGATATTTAAAAGATTTATCCTAAAAATAAGAGTATTAAATTCTGGCTAAAAACTGTTCCAGATTGGAAATAAAACAGCCAACCTCAATTCACTGTTAGACTTGCTACTAGTAGAGATGTTTTATGCCTGTGATGTGGTGTATTTGTATAACAATAGACCTAGAAATAATTATAATAATTACAATGAAGTGCAGTGGTGGACAATTTGTAACTTTGACTTGTTTATAGTGAGATGCTGAGCAAATGAGAGATTGCGATTGGGATTCCTGGTTTTTCATGGAGAAACATGTTTTATAATCCTAATCCGTATTAGGCAATAAACTAATCTTTGACACAAAAAGCTTGTAAGCTTATGTACTAAGTGGCCTTACATTCTTCTAGTATGGATTCTTGGCCTTTCTTAAAGAAGGATCAGAGATTATTTTTATTTTTTATTTGTTGTCTTTAGTCTTTTTAGTCTGGTTGCTTATTAGAATCACCTCAGACAGTTGTTTTGAAAAACTTTAAGCCCCACATGCTTCATGTTGTACCATCAGGAATCTTCAGTGTTGCGAATCAGTTTTTTTATTTATAAGTTTTATTTAGATCGTCATTGTAGTTCATGGATAGGCACCATAGGAACGCCCAATTTGTGATTATCATCACTCCTAAATCTTGCCAGAGGTTGTTGTTGGCAAATGTAGGAAAAATGGTTTTGGATGACGGCTCTCAAGTGCATCTTCATGGGAGTAAGGTAGCAAACGATATCCAAGAACCTGCGTCAAGTAAAAATATTTTCAATTCTCGAGTCTTTGTTCATTACCTCCTTTGGGTCCCTCTCAGAGCTTTCCTGTCAGGATATCCTGCTGATTGAAAACGTGAAAGTGAAGGCGTTGTCAACTCGTAAAATTAACGAGGGTTAAGTTCTAGAGAACTTAAGAATTAATGAGCCTAGGGTTATAGATATAATCAATGCTAGGAAAATAGTAATACTTAATGAAATCAAAGCTTGAGTGTGGGTCAATCCTTTTTGGGTTGGATGGGTGTAGTTTTGTTTAGCTCAACCCACTAATGTCATCACAGGCAACAGGCTGAAAAATTTTCTTTGTTTAGTTTTGGACATTACTAATTTGATCTTTTCTCCCATCAACTTCCATTCATTTTATAAGGGTGTTGCTATTTTTTTTATATAAATTACAGATAAAAGGAAATTATAATAGTTGATTATATGAATAAGTAGTTCGCCTTGGAAAGTAACGTCTTTATTTTTATCTAAAAAACCTTTTTTACCAGGCCTTTATTAGGATTTGTATAGGTATGTGAATAGTGGGAATATTCCCATCCCATACAGTTAGATGAATTACAGAATACAGGTGGTGTGGGAAGTAAGTAGGAATTTGGTTTAGAGTAGAAGATAATTATAAGTATTGGCATGTTGACACTAAACGTAATAAATTACATTAAAGGATAATAATAGAATAAATGATAAAAATCATTTTAACATTTGCATCTTCTTAGCCCCACCTCTTTAACCTCAATTTCAACTGCAATTGGGTAATATGTTAATGTCTAAGGATCGTCATATCTAAGTGGGTCAGACTATTGAAACGTATACTAGTTTTTAAACTGAACTAGGTAGGACGCTAAATGGTCAAAACTGAGTTTTTATGAAGAGTAAACTTTTTCAGAAATTTGTCAAGTTCTGTTCACATCTTTTCTATTCTATGTGTGATTCTGATTTTTTATGTCAATTAATCTGATGCTCGTTCTATTCTCCTATACGGTTAATGATTCCACAAACTTACCACAAAAACCAATAAAAATTTCAGAATTACGTATTATATACCGCAGTTGTTTTAATTTTAAAATTATCAAATAGAGATTGTAAAGCGTAATTTATTATTTTTATGCTCTCATTAACCAATTATGACATTGAAACTTATTGTCACCTATGCGGCTGTAGATCCTCTCCGACACACAGAGTTGAATATGTGTTGGACGTGAGAAACAGGCACAAATGTGACAAAATATTCGTAAGAAACACGGATATGGCGTTTAGGTGCATACCACATTCACGTTTAATTATTATAAAGTTACGATTACGAGTATAGGGATTAGATTGTCATAAATTGATTTTAGATGTTATTAGATGCTAAATAGAGATAGATTATTCATAAAGAACATTATATTGATTAACGTTGTATATAGAT